TCCATTTTCTTCATTGTATTTCATTTTTTTAGATGTGTGTACATCCATATACACATACATAGCTATAAACACACGTACATATGACAAGACTTCCCTGATGCCTCCACCACAGTCCCTGTAGGCACCACACACATCAATACCCCCTGTCCCCCCCCCTTTCAGGTTTCCTTCCCATCTCCCTTCCAGGAGTGAAAGCAGAGATATTTGTGTGGGTGTGTGTTTACTCCTGGAGAATTCACTGAGGGAGAGGGGAGGCAAAAGCCTCGGAGTTTCGGTTGCTGGAGAGCTCCTTAACATCTGCCAGAGCCCCCCGGAGCAACTTCCCTGCTTTTCACTCCGTTGATCAAAATTCCTTTTTTTTTTTTTTTAAGTCCTGGGAAGTGGCAACAGCAGGAGGAGAGCTGGTTTTGTAGGAGCAGAGGGAGAATCCCAGGGAGATCTTGGGATATGAGGCTGAAGGGCTCTGGGTTGGTATTTTATTCCGGTTCCTGGAACACAACCAGTGCTTTGGCAGCAAATCCCTGCACGGACCTCACCTGTGTGATGGTCATGGAGCACCCTCAACCCCGCCTTGTGTCCCTGAAAGAGCAGAAATTCACTGAAATCAGGTGTTCCCACTCCCTGGAGGCTTTTCCTGGGATTCAGGTGTTTATTCCCAAGGTGACCTCAGCATTTCTTGGGCTCACCGTGAACGGGCTCTGATGGAACTCGGGTTACCTGCACATGGACTGCTAAATTTAGGGTTTCTGTGCTATATTTTGCCCCCAAAAGTCTATTTAGGAAGCATTACACGCTTAAGCTGCAAAGACTCTCACAAACGCACGAGTGAACGCTGTTATTGCACCTAATCCTGCCCGATTTGGAAAGAAAAGTGCAGCACAATTTCTTGGCAAACTCGATTTAACGCAGACAAAAACATTTGGAAAGGCATTAGGAATGCTTGCAAATGAACCTGGGAGGTGGTAAATTCCTTAATGTTCCTCTCATGGTGGTTTTTTTTTTGTATAATTTAGCATAATGTCCACGCTTAATGTCTTCACACGCACATCCAAAGGCTGGCTTGACATGGATATTTGCTGTGTGTCATTTTGATTCTTCGTAACTCGATGGGATTGGCAGCAGAGAGCTGGGGAATCCTACTGGAAAACCCAGAATCTGTTCACAGGACATAAATCCCGTGCTTGGCAAACGGGTTTTGCCAAAAGAAGTTGTGGATTCCCCGTCCCTGAGAGCGTTTGAGGCCAGGTTGGATGAAATTGGAGCAGTCTGGTTTAGTGGAAGGTGTGGGAATGAGATGATCCCTAATAATAATAATAATCCCTTCCAACCCAAACCATTCTGGGATTTTAGGGTTTTTAGGTTTCTTGAACCCAAAAGCTGAATAAGAGCCCTCGGGGTTCAGCACGAAGGTGACTCTCCTCAGGTGGGAACTTTGCAAAGGGCCAGCACCTGTAAATGTGTGGAAAACACAACTTTTTTGCCTTGGAACGATGAGAAATCTCGATTTTCTGTGAGAAAACATGTGCCCAGTGGAACAGGCTTGTGATAGACTGAAATGTGCTAATATTTTGCCAGCACTGAGAAGTAAGTGGGATGAGCTTAGTAACTGCAGTCCAAAGATAACTTGGTGTCAGTTCCAGCTGAAATAATGGAATGTTGATGGAGGATTAAGTTCGCAGCAATTCAAAAATCTCTGAGTACAATTTGTGCATTGAAAGGAGATCTAGTCAAACAAATCCAATTGCATTCCCTAAGGAAATTGTAATTCTGCTTGATAGAGATAACAACACAAAGGTAGCAGCCACTTGGGGGTACTTGATGCTGTTCTACATGATCCTCAGGTTCAGGATTAGCACATGAAACTCCAGCAGGATGAGTGTCACTGGCTGAGGAATCAGTGACAAAAGGCAGCTGCTGTCGCTGTGATCGTGGGGGTTCCTCAGGGAACGGTGCCAGGCTGGAATTTTGGTCCCCCAGGGATGTGGGGGTGAGGGGAAAATCGCTGCTGATTAAGTCAGATTGCAGCAAGTTCACATCCAAGGGTGCTCTGAGCCAAATACAAACATTCCTCTTGGAGAGCCCACCTGGAATCCTGGGGACCCCCAACTTGAGAAGGACGTGGAGCTGCTGGAGGGAATCCAGAGCAGGCCCCAGAGCTGCTCCCAGGGCTGGATCCCTCTGCTCTGGAGCCAGGCTGGGACAGCTGGGGGGGATCACCTGGAGAAGAGAAGGATCCAGGGAGACCTGAGAACCCCTTGCAGGGCCTGAAGGGGCTCCAGGAGAGCTGGAGAGGGACTGGGGACAAGGGATGGAGGGACAGGACACAGGGAATGGCTTCCCAGTGCCAGAGGGCAGGGACAGATGGGAGATTGGGAAGAAATTCCTGGCTGGGAGGGTGGGCAGGCCCTGGCACAGGTTGGGCAGAGAAGCTGTGGCTGTCCCTGGATCCCTGGGAGTGTCCAAGGCCAGGTTGGAGCAACCTGCGCTGGTGGGAGGTGTCCCTGCCCATGGCAGGGGGTGGCACTGGATGGGCTTTAAGGTCCCTTCCCACCCAACCATTCCATGATTCTATGAATATCCAGGGACAAGGATGGCTCGCACAGGGAGGACTCTCCCTGTGGAAACCAAAATTTCTGAAGAAAATGTTTGATTCTTTTACTCAGGAAGCTCATCAGCAGCTGTGGCCCAGCTGACCCTCTGATCCTTCAGCAGGTAGTGAGGGGGTTTCAGGAAGGTTTGGGTGGAAGTGTTTGGTACTGGAGCACTGTGTGGGTGGTCAGTGCACTTGAAAGGACGTTGGGAAGCGGCACAGCATGGAAAAGAGCAGCACAAGTGTCCTGAGAATGGAAGAGAAGATCCCTCAGGGAGATTCAGAGCTCAGCCTGTATCCGGGGAAGTCAGCTCCAGGCCAGGGTGTAAGAACCACCCTGGGAACACCATTCTGCTCTTAGAGAGATCCCTAATTAGCTGGGAAGGAGCAGAGCAAAGCCCACACCGTCTGGAAGCCGAAGCCAGACAGATCCATCCGAAAAAACCCAGTCAGAACGTTTTTAATGAGGGAGGCAATTAACCATCAGGGCTAATGATGATGGAGAACAGCGCGTTCCGAGTGTGTTGTTGTTGTTTCCAGGCCCAGCCTGAGCGTGTTCCTCCAAGCTGGAGCCACTCTGGAGCGGTTGGAATGCCGAGTGGGTTCCGTTCAGCTCTCACGTCTGTCCTTGTTCCTTTCCCGCAGTTCCGCTACAAGCGCCGCGTGTACACCCAGGCCCTGCTGGATGACAAGCAGTTTGCCAAGCTCCACACCAAGGTAAGGCTGCTCCCTCAGCACAGAGAGGGGCTTTGGGGGACGGTTTCGGGCCTCCCCCGCTTGTCAGGTTGCGAAGAAACCGCTGGAAATGGGGTTGGGGTGTGACGGCACCGGGGCGGTTTGGGTGGGGATGCACACGAAGGGTGGGAGCACACACAAAGGGATAAACCTGCCTGGGTTGTGTCCCAGCAGGCAGCAGCGTGGCTGGGTGGGGGGGGACAGCGTGGGGACGGCGTCCACGGGGTGCTGAGGTGGAGGAACCCGTGATGGGCCTCCTGAAGAGCGGCTTTATTCGCCGGCACGGAGGAGTTGCTGCGCCCGCAGAGCACAAAGGGGCACATTGAGGAGCTTGGTGTCCCTCCCCCAACCTCTGCCTGGAGCTGCTTTGTCTCCAGCCTTAACTCAGGCGTTTGGGTCGTGGTTTCACTGGTGGGATCCCAGTGGGAAGCGTTCCTGGTCTCCTGCAGCACCCTCGTGTCGTGGGCAGCGGTTAAAGGGTGTCAGGGTCAGCAGTGAAGGGACCATCGGGATGTTTGGAGCACAGGGACTGCGTGGGTGTCTCCTGGGGGGAGAGGAGGCCCCAAAACCACCGGGCTCTGCAGCCAGGGATGCCCCACCTAGAGGATCAGGGATCTTAAAGGGGACCAAACCTGGAGGGCTGGGTGTCCCCTCACATTGCTCCTCCCCTGGACAACTGCAGTGGCCCCCTGATGCCACTTCTTCCCTAAGAAATGAAGGACAGGAATTGTGGAGAGGTCTGGAACCACCAGGAGGTTTTTGCTGCCACTCACAACTGTGCCTTGAGGTGGCATGTGGGGACTTTGGTGGTTCCTGGGAGGCTGAAACCAGCAGTGCATGGGAACTACAAGGCAGGAGGGAGGAGATGGGCTCTGGCAGCACCTGGACAGGCTCCTGGGTATGGATTTGTGCTGGGGGGGGGTTGTGTGCAGAGAGGCTTTGGGGGTTCTTGTTTAGGAGGGATGTGGAACTGGCCGGGATCCCTTGTTGCTGTGTATCCCAAGCCCTCCTTGCAGGGTGATGGCTGTGCCTTCTTCTCCTCGGCTCCCTGGCAGCCCTGTAGAGCAGAAAGGGAGAAAACCTTCCCCCAGAGGGCTTGGCCTCCCCCAGAGGCTGTGGGAAGGAGCAGGTCCCCTGGGGTGGGTTTGCAGACCTGCAGGAGCGCGAAACAAAGCGCCGATGTGGTTCGGGTTTGGCTCACGCAGATGAAAGTCACGAGGCTTCTGTCTGGTGGCATAAGGATATCCAGGCAGCAGATCTGGAAAGCTCTCAGCATCTCCCTGGCGCCAGGAAACGTGAATCATGGTCTTCCTGAGCCTTGCCAGAGGAGCTGGGAGTTCTCCTGCTGGAGGGAGCGCTGGGGGCTCCGGGTGCCGGGAGACCCCAGGATTTCCCTGCGGGTGTTCAGCAGCCCCAGACGTGCTGCATTAAATATCCAATTCATCTCCACTTCAGTTCCTACTTGACCCCAAATCTCCTTAACGTTGTTTCTTTATTTTTAAACCATCCCTTGCCGGTCTGAGCTCCCGCATCTCCGCTCCTCCCGTCAGGAGCATCTCCTTTGGATGATGCTGCTTTCTCAGAGCTGGTGGTGTTTTTGGGGGGGGGCAGGAGAGGAGCTCCCCAGGGGTGTGGTGGGTGAGGGGGAGGTGGGGGCAGCCCGAGGGGCCGTGCCAGGAGGGCTGAGGGTGGGAGACGTGCTCGTTGGAGCGATGCCGGAGTGCCAGCGGCGTCGGGACTCACCCGGCGCAGATCGACGCTGTTTGCTGAGAGAGGAGCCTGCGTGTGCAGCCTCCCAGCAGCTCGATCCGGGGGGAGAGGGGCACGCAGAGCGCGGGGACATGGGCTCCTCCTTGGGACGGTGGCTGGCGGAGCGCAGGGACAAGCAGGGAAGAGCCAGGAGCACGGTACTGCCTCTGCCCCGACGGCTGGGCCAGGCACCGCCGGGTGAGGGGGCTCGGGGGGACACGGGGGACAATCCTGCCCTGCCACTCGCCCCACCCAGGGCTGCTGGGGCAGGGCAGGGCCTGCTGGGGGGGGTTTATTCCCTGCGTGGTGTGGAGACACTCTGGGTCGATCCAGGGATCTGCACCGCAGGGGTGGGGGGGCTGCTGGGGGGGCTTGGCCTGGCTGTGCCTTTAGGGTTGGTGTTTCCATGTGGGAAAGTGGAGGTGATGCCTCTGGGTCGTGGTGTGGGGCTTCCCTGTTATTTGCAGCGGTGTCTAATTGCTTGGGTGGTGAAATGTTGGATTTTCTGGCATGTGGTGATTTAAAGGGCTGGGCAGGATTGGTGTGAGGTCTGACAGGATGGTGGGGTGCCCTGAGGCTGTGGGATGTCCGAAATCTTTCACCCTGGGGTTGATGGTCTCGACCCAATCAAAGCAAAGCACGAAAGCTCTCAGAGTTTATCCTGATTTTTAGTGGCAGGAGACACAACTTGAGTCTTTTAATGACCTCGAAACACGGTTCTTGCCTGCCATTGGAATAGTCACGGAATCATTTAGGTTGGAAAAGATCTCTAAGGTCGTTGAGTCCAGGCTGTGATTGACTGATCAAACAAGAAGTGAATAGCTCCTTTTTCTTGGGTGCCAGTGGTCTTGTTGAAAGAAGGGGGAGAGCTGAGTTCTCGTATTGCTGGCAGCAATGAAGGGTCCCGGCACCCTGAGTGGATCAGCCTCGTTCCTTCGTGCCCCTCGGGATCTGCAGGCTCTGACCTTTCTCCCAGGTTGTTTTTCCCAGTGAATTGCAGGAGCCCATGTGGAAGTGGGAGTGCCCAGAAACACACCTTACACGAGGGCAATCCTGTTGTGCTTGTAAAGGAAAATGTGTGCAGGGAAATCCTGGCACTCGCTGAAGTGTCCCCAAAGTGCTGCCAGGAGACTCAGGATGTCACCACCTGGAAAGGGGAAGAAGCATCCCACTTAAAACACACTTCCCAGGGGCAGGTGCTCAGCCATCCCAGAGTAGCAGGACTTTGTCATGTGTGGTGGTGACTTGGCTTTAAGCTGCTGGAGGGCAGGGTTAGGTGGGATATTGGGAAGGAATTGCTGGCTGGGAGGGTGGGCAGGCCCTGGCACAGGTTGGCCAGAGAAGCTGTGGCTGCCCCTGGATCCCTGGGAGTGTCCAAGGCCAGGTTGGAGCAACCTGGGATAGTGGGAGGTGTCCCTGCCCATGGCAGGGGTGGCACTGGATGGGCTTTAAGGTCCCTTCCAACCCCAACCATTCCATGATTCTTTAAAAAACAAGTGCCATCACTCCAAACATCCCTCCCTTCCTCCTCCCTCCTTCCTGTCATCGCTGAGCTTGGCATCCTTTGGTCTGGGACACCCCTGGGGCAATTGGGGTCATCTGTCCCGGCTGTGCCCCATCCTGGCTCTGCACTCCCTCAGCCTGCTCAGGACTGACCCCTCTGTGTCCCCACAAACCCAACACACAGATGGAACAACCTGGCTCTATCCCAGCCAGAGCCGGAGCATCCCCAGCATCCCGCATGGAGAAGGTGTCCCTGCCGGGGAGGCACGGCCAGAGAGGGGGGGGAATTGCAGGGGAGGGGTTAAACACTGTGCTGGCGTGTCAGGAAGTCGATAGTTCGATGTTTCCATGGGGATCGATGTGCCCATTTGCTGCTGCCCCACAGGGAGGAGGAGGGGGATCTGCTCCAGCCTCCCTCACCACGCTCTGCAAAGCCCGGGGTCTGCCTTAACCCCAGCTGCTCTTTGGGGCAAACGGGGCCCTGAGAAAAACAATTAGTCCTGGCTTGTCTGCTGGAAACACCCGAGTGAAGGGTCTGTGCCATAGTTTTGCTCTCAGTGAGCTTTTCTCCTCCGGAGGGTGTTGATTTTGCCGGTGGTTTGGTGCGGGTGGTGGATGATGATGGAGCGCGGCCGCCGGCTGGAGCTGTGCCCCGGCGCTCTCCTGGCATCTCCCTCCTCCTCACGCCTTCACAAACCAAGGAAAAGTGCCTCAAACTCGCTCAGGAGTTGCTGTGAGGGGCTCTTTTGGGTGAGGATGGGTGGGATCCGAGCTGAAGCCCCAGAGCCGCCGTTGGGGTGCAAAGGGTGAGGGCAGAGCAGACGCTGGTTGCTGTCTCTCCTGACAAGGCTCCCCTTCCTGCTCCTCCCGGGGGAGCTTTGCCCCCTCCCAGGGAGAGAAGAAGCCCCCAAGGACAGGGATCACTTCCCAGAGGGTTTGCAGGTGGGGTGAGCTCAGCTCTGCCCCTGTTTCCTGGCAGAGACCACCACAGACAGACCCCACCTCCTGTAGCCCCCCAGCCCTGCCCCCTGTGAGGGCACCCGCAAAGAAAAAGACCTAAAACATCCCTTAAAAGGCGAGGTGGGGCCTTACTCTGAGTTTTAATCTTATTTACAGGAGGTTTTGGTGGGCTTTTTTGGGTTTTTGCTGCCCAGGAAAAGCTCACTTTGTTCTGGTTGCTGCAGCGGTTCAGACATTGATTGGTAAATGATTAAATAAGGGGGTTTCACTCACAGGGAGACCCAGTGAGTGTTTATTGGAGCCTTAAATATATAGAAATATTTTTGATGGCTTTATATAAATATTTTTGTTACTTCCTATCACTGTATTTGGGGCTTAATTTTTGCGTGTAGGAAACGGGATGCTGTGCCTTTACCGGCTTCTGATTATTTTTCCCTTGTTTTGATGAGCATCAAAGCAGATTTGGATAATTCCAAAATTCAATTAACCCGAAAACAAAATAACATTTTCAATTGTGTCTTTATCGCCTGAATGAGTGTTGCTCGAATGTGCTGGGCACAGAGGGCGCAAAGTAAATTTATCAGTGCATATCTTTTGTGTTTGAAGCCGCCTGATCTCTTAAACAAAGGGAGATTTGGGTTTGTTCTTTGAGTGGTTCTCATCCCAAATTCTCAAAGGTGTTTAAGCGCCAGGACATCAGCGAGGATCTAGTGAGACTTCAGAATTGCCCGAGAGGTTTAGGCACCTGTTCAGCTCCCCCTGCTTTGGTGGGAGGCTGACATTTGCTCTCTCTCTCTTCGTGGTCACCTTAATTCATTCGAAAGCCTGGCCCCAAATCCCTCAGGTTCTTAGAATAACGAGATCTCCTTCCTTTCCCACCAGGGTTTTGTTCATACACTGGGGGAGGAAAACAAGAGTCCTCACTTTCTCAGATCTCCTTTCAGCTTTGGGTGAATCAGTCCATATAACACGGACCGTATCCTGAGTTTTGAGCTAAACTGGAATAGAAAGTGGTCGGATGGAGAAGCTTTTCCATGCAAAGTCAAATCTCTGCAACTCCCTGACAGGGTCGGGCTCTGCTCCCAGGGAACAGGGACAGGACAAGGGGAAACGGCCTCAAGCTGTGCCAGGGGAGGCTCAGGTTGGCCATGAGGAGGAATTTGTTGCTGGCAAGGGTGGTGAGGCCTTGGCAGGGGCTGCCCAGGGAGGTTTGGAGTGCCCAGGCCTGGAGGTGTCCCAGGCAGGCCTGGCCGTGGCACTCAGTGCTCTGGGCTGGGGGACAAGGTGGGGATGGGGCACAGGGGGGATCCATGGGCTGGGAGGGCTTTTCCAACCTCTGATTCTGTGAAAAAAATTCCATGGAAAAATGTAAATAACCACCCTTTGGTTCATGGTTAAAAGTGGCTGTAAAGTGCCCAGGAAAGGACATGGCTGGGATGTCTTGGCAGTGTTTGGGTTGGTTAAGGAGGCACTTTCAGTGGTGCTTGGAAATGCAAATTGGTTGCCAGTGTTGTTGTGTTGCCGGTGCTGGTTGCCTGTGTGGTTTTTTTAAGATGGGAGATTCTTTTAATGCAGCTGGAATCTGATTTCAGTGAAAACATTAATCTGAGAGAGCTGGGGGGGTTCACCTGGGGAAGAGAAGGCTCCAGGGAGACCTGAGAGCCCCTTGCAGGGCCTGAAGGGGCTCCAGGAGAGCTGGAGAGGGACTGGGGACAAGGCCTGGAGGGACAGGACACAGGGAATGGCTTCCCAGTGCCAGAGGGCAGGATTAGATGGGATATTGGGAAGGAATTGTTGGCTGGGAGGGTGGGCAGGCCCTGGCCCAGGTTGTCCAGAGAAGCTGTGGCTGCCCCTGGATCCCTGGAAGTGCCCAAGGCCAGGTTGGACGGGGCTTGGAGCACCCTGGGCTGGTGGAAGGTGTCCTCTAAACACCTTCATCTGGTTCCAGAAGTCAGGAATTGCTGTGCTGTGTCCAACCCTCTCCCACGAGTGGTAAGACTGTGAATTGCAGCAATTTGGGCACGAAGCTGCACATCTGGAGCATGAGCTGCACATCTGGACCATGCTGGAGGGCGAATGGGCAGCAGCAGAGGGCTAGAAAGAGAATATTTTTCTACAGAAAAACGAACTGGTTAAGTTTCCAGACTTTACAAATGATTTTGGAAGCGTGGCTGCGGGATCGGAACGAGGCCTCGGATAGATGAACCTTCTCTGTTCCACTTCTGGAAAGGCAGGGTGGGCATTGATTTCCCCCCCAAGGGAATTTCCATGGCAGCCCCATCAATGCCCACGTGGAGCACAGGGCTGTGGGGGGATCAGCAGCAGGATTTGATCGGGGAGGTCTTTTCCAACCGAACTGATTCTGGGAAGAGGCGTTTTGGGTTGGCATTTTGGTGCTGGAGC